TATCATCTCCTGGGCCTTGGGAAGAACCTTGTCGTCATAGTCTGCGCAGTACTGACAGTAATCGCTTTGGCAACGCGCTTTCTTAAAGTGGCAAAGGTGCTCCTTCATGATGCGGTGCATAGTCCTGGCAGACATGTTTTCGTAGAGGCTCGGCTCGTCTTCAAACAAGGCGGTGCGGTCTTTCGTCAAAGTTCTGGCAATGACCCACTCAGCAGTGCCTCCGGGGTTGCTACGGCATATTTTTGAAGAATCTTGGCTGTGCGCCTGCAACACTGCGCGCACTGCCTCAATGCAGGCCTTGCTGTTTACTTTAGACGGTCGCCCTCGTGTCTTGGCTTGGGCATCGTCTGGGCCTGAGGCCTTCAGCCATCGAGCAGCACCAAAGGAGTAGCCTAAGTTCTCAACTGCTGACCGGTCAGGAAAAGCTTGATGAATGAGAACATCAACTTGGTCACGGATTGCGCGTATGCGATCTGAAGGGTTTGGAGGTTTGAATTCTGGAACTGCGCCAAGACCTCGCACAAGAGACGAACATGAGCCACACACCGTGGCGGGCTGCAGCTTCTGCGCTACAAGCTTGCCGAATTCGGGCCATTCATTCTCAACCACACGGATTGCCCTTGCCACTGTATCGGCTGCCTGCTCTGCAGAGGGAAACCGGCGGAGGTGGCAGGTCAATACCTTCTGGTGCCTCCGCCTTTGCCGGAATGTCTTTGAGCGGAAATGCTTCTTGGCGGGGGGCCTTGTCAGCAGGCGCTCAGCACGCTTCCGCTTTTCACCCTTTGCACTAGCACGCAGAGGCGGCAAAGAACTGGCAGGTTGCTCGGTTGTTGGAGGCATCACGGGCGCTGAAGGCAAGTTTGAGGACGATGAGCTTCCAGGAATTTCTACTACTGCTGCACCACTTGGCTGCTGGGAATACCATTGTTTCCGTTCAGACTTTGGCAGCTTGCTCCAGTAGTTCTTGTCCACATAGCTCCGAAGCCAATCGCGTTGTTCCCTTGTGAGTGCATTCTGCTCGCCGCTATGCCTGGCTTTGCTAGTGTTGGCACGGCCTGGTACGGCCGACACTGCTGTTCTTGTCAGGGAGTCGCCTTCGGGGCCCTGCAGCAAAGAGAGGAAAAAGCGATGAAGAGCTGCCTTGTCTTCTTTGGTGCGGCCCATGCAGAAACTACAGTAATGTGAGGATGTGTCTTTGTACGGGACCTGGGATTACAAGAAGGTTATCGTTAGGTTATCGTTTGGATTATCGTTCGGGAAGCTGACATGTTTGGGAAAATCTTGAGACAAGTTCCTTTCAGCAGGATGGACATACATTTACTAGAGATGCACTTCCGACGCGCACATTCCTTTGTTTAGCTTTCCTGAACAAAAACGGACTTTTGTAACTAAATTCGCCTAGTGCAGCATTCTTCAAAGCAAACGGCAAGGAAGCAATGTTTTCCGTCGTCAGCTATGTGATCCAAGTCCACAAGCTGTAGACCGCCCGTCTGCGGCAAGAGCAGGCTGCTGGTCTACATACAAACCCCGGAGCTCATGGCATGCACAGCCCCATGTGCACACACACACACAAACTCAAACATTCCATCATTTCTTTCCGCCATCGCACTCGCAACACCTGCATTTTGCAAGGTCCTGCATTTCCATGCGACTACGGATCTCAACGGACTTGCTCTTCACCAACAGCAAAGCTTCTGGGACAGCGTGGAGAATCATTTTGCTCCTTGTGACCCCCAGCTTTTGCGTCGCGCGGTAGCAAAAGAAACACTGACTACCAACTGTTCGTTGACAGCCGCTTCCTGTCAAGCGGGTGCACCAAAGGACACTATGACGAGCGACCCCACAAATCTCGCAAACAGATGCCTTCTGCTGACGGTAGTCTTTTCCAAGGGGGTTACCTTGCTCAGCTACGCCAAAACATTCCACTGCCTTTTGCAGCTTCAAACGCACTGGGTCAGAAATCTCAACACTCACAGTTTGCTTGCCCCGCAGTCGCTTCGGCTGGGCTAGAGTTGGAGTATCTGGATCGCATTGGTCGATCTTGCGTTTGCACGGCGTCTGTGTGGCCTCTGCGTGGTCATCTGCTCCACCACTTTTCAAGGACGTGTCTAGCGATGGATCTGGCAAACACTCTCCCCGAGAATGACTAGGCTTCTCCTGAGAAAGCAAAGCCGTTAGACCGTCCCTTCCCTTGCTCTCAAACATCAAAGAGCCCCTAAAACTTCCCAAAAGACATGCTGAGAACAAGCCTGGTGGCCTCAGGACACATCACTTCGCCAAAGTCTAGCTCCTCAGAAAAGCCAAAGTGCAACCCTCCTAGATGCGATTGCCCACTTGCCCAACATAAAAAAAATACTTTCAGAGTTGACGAGGCACTGGGGCAGCAGGAGTTTCCATGAGCACTGCCTCAACCTCACGAGAACCGTCCAGAAGCCCAGCCTCACCATTGGGCACTGCTTCTTTCTCAGCACCTTCACCATTCACAGACATCACCTGCAAGTACGGGCAGCCCATGCCGAGGCCATGTTGACGCTGTCGGATCACTATCTCAAAACATGATGTCAAAATCCTACCAGACAGCCCGCTTTTGTTCATCCCTGCACCTGCCCATCATCCATTGTGGTTTTTTTTCCGCCAGTGTCTTTGCAAACTTGCTAAGGCATGTGGTAAAAGTCCACGAAGATCCAGTCCTCAGACAGGATTTGTTGAAAGTGGACCTGGAGGACTGGGCTATGTCACTGTTCTAAAAGCACAAAACTAAACATCCAATGGAGCACCCCCTTGAGATAGCCTGCACTTCAGGCTGAGAATCAACACTGCTGCATGATGAGATGCTCGAACATGACCGCTTGCAGTGATGGTTTCATTAGCCTTGGTGCGAGTCGCACTGCTACACAAACATCCTCACAACCTTGATAAAAACATGAAGCTCGTCTACAAGAGGGAAAACACGCCAGAAGTTCTATGCAAACCAAAGTGGCACAGTGGGACACTAGCACACCCCATCGACTGTTCCACTGAGGAGGATTCATCTGAGCTACGCAGTGCCTGACTTGGCACAGCTTGGGTGGCTGCTGCTCCATTGCCACCGCCATTGTCGAGGTGAAATGATGGCACCAAACAACTCTCGACCGACAACAGCAGCAGCAAAGCGGCAAGTATAACCCCTGATGACCCTCTTCAAACCCACAGATTCAATGCCCATCAGCACAATGTCAAAAAGAACAAGCGGTATCTCAATGAGACATATAAATGCAAAACATTCCATGAAGTTAAACATCTTTGTACTTGTATATCTTGACTATATCGTTTTTGGTGGGGACCATATCGTTTTCCATATCAAACAAAGCCTTCAACATAGTTCAGGGTCACCCCCTGACTAAATAAATAAGCCAATAATTTTGTCGGTCGCTCAAATGAAGAGCTCCTCGACGCAGATGGAGATGCACCTTTCTTCCCACCTTTGGACCAGCGGTCAGGGCACTTCAGATACCCGTGACCGGACTGACCGCAGATGAAGCACGGTCCGAAGCCACCTCCAACACCTTTGCCCTTGCCAGATGCTGGCCCTTTTCTCTTCCCTTTGCCGCCACCAAGACTTCCAGGATGTCCTTTCGTGCCCGTAGGATCAAAATAACCCCGTGCAGCACGGACACGAGCAACAGCCTGTCTTGCTTCGGCCAATGTCTTGTTGGCCTCCGTGGCCAATGCAAAGGCTTCCTCAACTCGCTGCTCGTTCTCGAGCTCCTCCGTTGTCTTCTCCTCTGGCTCCTCCGGGTAGTAGTCATTCTCCTGGATGTAGTCCTCATAGGAGCCACCATCATCCCATGAAGTTGGACTCCATGACGGGCTCCAGTCATTCCAGAAGATGTCCTCGCTCCACCAGCTTGGATCTTCACTCCACCAATCATCTTCCATGCCCCAGTCTTCACCTTCATCAGCCGCATACCAGACGGAGCGTCTTGGCAGCCTTCCAGGATCATCAGCTTGATCAGCACCATCAGAAAATAGAGATCTCAAAGCTTGCCTGATCTGGGTGAAGTGGGTCGAGTTCTTCGTCAGTGTGAGGACATGCTGACGTTCAGCTTGGGTAAGCTTGGCTGCTTTCAACAACCTGTAACCCCTAAGCTCATGCTCAAAGAATCCAGCATTCTCGCCCTGGGAGGTCTCGACAACCTTCTCATCCTCAGCCGGGAAGTCATCATCTTCTCTGACCGAACTCAATCCTGCCCTCGTCACATTGGGTGACCTCGTAGGGGACATAGGTGGATCTCTTTCGCTCGCTCCGACACCCATGGACTTCACCTCATGCCGAGCTCGTTCATGGCGTGCACGTTGTAGTGCCTGCTGGAGCTCTGTGAAGAGCTCTTCTTCTCTCACCAGCAGCTGTGGGATCGCCTCGCCATGAGCTCGCTTCAAACCTGTCCATTTCTCCAATCTCGAGAAGCTATCAGGGATTGGAAGCTTCTGCAGTGGCGAGTCTCTGAGGACCCGCAGGAGTTTCTCCAGGCCAGTGTCAGAGGAGAAATCCTTTGGATCAAGGTGGCAAACCACCGATTTCGCAGCGCCCTGCAGCTTTTGCCAGATCCGAGGTGCCGCGAGCTTTCTCTCTGTCTCCTTGAGGGAGCATTCAAACCACCTGCACGATGTGGCGAATGCTTCAAAAGAAGACGGGTCACCGTCCCAGGCCGGGACGTCCTCGGCTGGCATAGCCAGCCACCACCAAAGCGCTCCAGCGCCGCACCAAAGCGCCCCAGCTCCTCACCAGGGAGCTCCGCTACCATGAAAGGCAACGAGGCCAACCTATGGCCAAAAGGAAGGACCACGACGGTCCAACACGCGAACGCGCCCGATCTGTTTTCCGCTCGAGCCCCGCCCTTCCGGGGTGACGTGTCAAAGGTTCATGACATGCGACCTCATGCGCACACTCAGGAATTGTGTTGTTTTTTGGGGTTAACGGTTAGAGCACATGTTCGGGCAAGCACTTGCAAGCGAGTGACATGTCCAGCAACAAATATTCATATCCTCGAAGCAATCGAAAGGCCCCGAAGACCAGGAGCTCAGCTTCTCTTTGGGCATCATCGACTCGTCCACCTCCGGCCACTTCGCCATGTACCTGGCACTCCGAGAGAATCACTCCGTGTCGCGGAAGATGGAACCACACCTGAAGGTGAGCGCAGCCGCGGTCATCAGCGTCGCCAGGATGATCAAATGGCCAGTAACCTCACCTCCGGAAAGAAACATGGAAGTCGGCCTGAACCCTTGACTAAATCGTTTTCCCATGTCTTCCCTCCACCTGGTGGAAAAAGGGGGGTGTCCACCTTGATCGATATCGAAATTCGTGGCGACTAATTGGCTCAGTGAATCGTTATGTCGTAGTGTCTGGTACACGTGCTCGACCGACCCCGGGGCCCATCCAGGCCCTCTACTCATCACACCGACGCAAACACAGATCGTTCCGCTTCACCCGCCTGCGGACGGCAACTGTATCCGGAGATGCTGGACGCTTCGTGGTTCCTGGCACAAAAGGAACCAACAGGGCCCATGAGGATTCCCTGTGCTTCGTCTACGTGAGGATTCCTCGTGCGTCGGGCACCGAAGAAACCGGTCCGCTGGGTGCCACGGGTCGAACGGGTCGGTCGACTCAGTGGTTTCAGCCACTCCCCAGTCCCGGCACTCTCCATGGCGCTTCATAGGCACCATGTCGGAGTGTATTGTTCACCATGAAACTTGCACTGAGATGTTGCAACTCTTCAGTGAATCTGTCAGGAAGATCATTGGACTTAAAGTCAACTGTGGATAAAATATGATGCAAAAAAACTCCAATGTGGAGATGTTTGACATGTTTGACAACACTAGGGTGTGTGTGTGTGTGCGTGCTTTTCAGTTTGACATTACTCTCCCTCTCTGAGATATACATATATATGTATATAATGTTTGACATTCTCTGCATATCTAATTAAATATATGTACATATGTGTATATGTATATGTGTATATATAGTAATGTATTATAGTATTAGTATATTACAAGTAGACACAAGTAGTATTACATAGTATGTATTAGTCTCCTGCCATCCATGTTAATGTTGATTCCACACCGTCTCATGCAAATGTCCCGAAACCAGTCATGCGCGAGCACATCCGAAGAGATCTTACACCAAGAGCCGGAACCCACCAATCGCTGGACATCTCAAAGCTCTGAAACATTTAAGACATTGTAAGACGTACTGTATCTCATCATCCCTCCATATGTTTGAGCCCTCCACTCAACTGGCACGGCAAAACTTCTCTGCAAATTCTCAGCCCAACCCGTCCTGAAGCATCTGCGTCAAACTCTTCGCGGGACCCGCGCTCCACAGCGCTACCGCCGCAGTCGCCACGGTGGGCGGGGTCTTCACGGTCTTCACGGTGCTCAGGTCGTGAGTGGCGTTCGCCGCCTGGGGAGGCACTTGGAAGCTCGGGTCTGCGACGCATGGTGGGAACGCGTGCTGGTGGCGCGGTGTTCGGGTGGTTGGTGACCCTATTCTGGTGCATCACTTGGTGAGTCAGTTGGAGCACTAGGAATTCCATGGAATTGAAACAGTCTGGTGCCATCTGAACACCAAAACCGACTGTGGGTCAACGGGCCACCTTCAGTCAACCTCGTGGCACCCGGGCACCCGGGCCCGTAGACCTAAGGGATGTCAACCTCCCATGTTTTGGTGGGGGAGGTTTGGCCTTGCAGCCATATCCCATATGGGAACATGTGGGAACCCCCTTTTTTTTTCACCTGACCCGTCAGCCGGTCAAAAGGCTCCAGTATGGACCTCTCTGGCCTTCACGGGACCTCGCAAAGTGGAGCTCAAGCAATAAGGAAAGGCGAGCCAAAGAAGGATTGCCTGTCAACCGAGCTGCGAGCTGCGAGCTGCGGGCAGCTCGGCGTTCTGAAACAGTGGACTCTATATACAGTGTATATATATGTATATATATTCAATTTGATTCATGTGTTGGAAAGTGTTGGATGCGAGGTCAAGAAGAAACAGGAATGCTGCAAAGGCAACTGCAGGCAACTTGTAAAGAAACTCTGCCTTCAGCAAGCCTGCCATCGCTGGTATACGACGGCTTCTAGTACAACTACCGAATGGCGTAAATGAAATAAGAGACTTGGTCCAAAAGTGAGCGCGGCGGATATTTCTCTGAGCACTGTCACGTCCTTTGAAATCTCTCTCAAAATATATCCAAATCAATCAAAACAAAAGCACTGCAAACAGGACAAAGATGGACAAAGCGTCCTGTGGCCTCATGGTAGCTGGATGTTGCTGGGATATGCTGGGATTGCTGCTTTCACATGTTTTCACTTGTTTTCACAATGTGTTCACCTTTTTTTTCACCTAGCTCCATGCCAGTCGTCCAGGTCGCTTCCCTTCCCCCCCCCACCACCCAAATTGGGGCTCCCCACGCGCTGGGCTCGGCAGGAGAGGCCCACCGTGGGATCGCAGCTCCGGGCCGCTGCTTCCGTGCTGTTCCCGGCGGCCTTGGTCCGTTCGCGGCGGGCGGGGGCAAACCGTTCGGTGGGGTCCGACACCGGAGTGCAAAGAAACTGTAGCACTGGAGTCCCGTCCGACATCAACCGAGTCTTTTGGGGACTTGTTCGCCTTGCGAGTCTGAAGGGGAGCTGAGACGGAGCGTCCGCAGCGTCTTTTCGGGAAGCTCGTCCCCTGCCTCTTCGGGAGCTTCGAGAACTGCAGTCTCAGTGCTCAACAAAATGGCCTCGTGCACCCGGTGCTGTCTCGAACCCTCGTGGACGCAGGTCTCCGTGAGACGACCTGGGCCCTGGATGGCCCTGGGGAGTCTCCAAATGTCGAAACGGGACGAAAAGGCCTGAAGTGAAGTGATGGGATGTGATGGGTATACTCAGCATGCTTAGCTGATTAGATGCTTAGCCCCCTTCACAAAAGGAGCATTGACTGAAAGCTGCCCTCTTTGCCACGGGCATGTTGGGACGATGTGCAGCTACAGTATTCTACGGGATTCTCGCTGGAGAATGGCATGCAAAACACTCTGCTTGGTATCAGGCCTTAGATGCAGTTGTTCACGTGTGGGCCTTCACTTCTGTCATACATTTTTAGAATGAGCCACCAAGCCAACCTTAGCTATCCTTGCTTGATGAAAAGTCAGCCCGAGTTTGTGGCTCTTTGTGCTTGGCCAAAACAGGGCTCCTCCCGACTCACTAGCTGAAGCGACCGAACAAGGTCAGCGCATATCCAGGGCCTTGGAATCACTCACAAGGTCTTGGACCGGTGAGAAGGGCGCCTGACCAGGGCCCGTGCTTTCGAGGGTGCGCCTCCCTTCAGTCCATGCCAGGGAACGCGCCAGCGAACGCAGGTGGAAAGGCGCGTGCGGGTCATTTGCGGCCCCAACGAGAGAAAACATGCTGGCAAGGACCTAGTGATATCATGAAGTCGCAAAGTTCTCTCCCAGCGTGGCCAATATGATTCAAGCTAAATCCAACTAATTAACTGAGATCATGTTCCAACTGTACAAGACCATCCATATTCCACCATCTTCCACCAAAAAACAGCTTCTGTGCCGCCAGTAGGGTGTTTCACACCCGGAGAATTCACCCACCTTGAGGATGTCCATGAGTTCTTCAGCCTCGCCCTTGGCCAGGGCCTTTGACAAGGCCTTGGCGCGCAGCATTGCCTCGTCCGCTTTGCGGAGCCTCGGAGGGCGGAGGACCCCAGTGGCTGTGTGGCGCACAGAACCAGAATGAACCAGAAAAGGAAGTGGCAAGAGCCTACAGATATGAAGAACGCAGCACCTACAACCCAGGAAGCAAGAATGCAAACATACACAAACCAGGGTGCCATGGTCGGTTGGAACAATCCCTACTGTAGACGCTTTTTCACAATGGACTCTTCTTAGTCCGAGGAAAGCACGCCAGCGTTGTTTTTGATATCTTGGTATGGCTGCAACTGTTATGGTGCTTTGACCATCTTTGACGCCCCGTCTTCGTATTCATAGCTTCAATCTTGCACCTTCTTGATCTAGAGGCGGGCTCGGGGCTTCGGGAGGTGTGCAAATTTCCCAAACTTCTCTACATTCTTGTTCACACCACTGACAGACGTCCCCATCACAGACGATCGTCTCTTAAGTTCCTCCTTGGCGATGGTGTTCAGGTGAACAATGTCCGGCCCATCTGCCAGCCTCACATGCCTCACATGATGGTACAAATCCGTCAAATGCGAGTCTTGACTCACTCCATGTGCCCCATGAATCTGGATCGCTTCATCTAGGATCTTTTGGCAAATCCTGGGAGCATCCACTTTGGTCATGGCGATGAAGCCCTTGGCCGCTTTGAAGCCATGATCATCCGCCTGGACCGCCGCCAAGTAGCACAACAAGCGACTCTTCGTGATCTCCATTCGTGCCTCCGCAATCGTCTGCCGGATCGTGGCCTGGTCAGCCAACAACTTGCCAAAGGCCACGCGCTGATGCACCCGATGCAAAATTGCATCCAAGGCTTGCTCTGCCGTACCGATGGTGCGCATGCAATGGTGAATGCGCCCAGGACCCAAGCGACCTTGGGCAATCTCAAAGCCACGACCCTCCCCAAGCAGCATGTGACTGGCGGGAACCCTGACATTCTCGAAGAGGATCTCAGCATGATCGTGGATGTGACCAAAGACTGCTAAAGGTCGAATGATATGAACTCCCTTTGCGTCTCGAGGAACCAGAATCATCGAATGCTGCTTGTGGCGTTGCTCAGATGTTCCTGATCGTCCCAAGAAAACAAAGACTTTGCATTCAGGGCGACAGGCACCACTGATGTACCACTTATGACCGTTGATGACGTACTCATCTCCATCCCGTGTGATTGTTGCACTAATGTTGGTTGCGTCGCTGCTTGCAACACCTGGTTCAGTCATGGCATAGGCAGATCTGATTTTGCCTTCAAGCAAAGGCACAAGCCATTGCCTCTTCTGCTCTTCGGTACCAAACTTCTCCAAAACTTCCATGTTTCCAGTGTCGGGAGCTGTGCAGTTCATAGCAACATTGCACAGTCCAAAAGCGCCAAGTATCTCACAAATCGGCGCATATTCCAAGACGCTCAGCTTTCCCACCTCAGGTAAGAAAAAGTTGTACAACCCCCTTGCCTTGGCTTTCTGCCTCAGTTCATCAAAGATGGGCGGAGAAGCAGCCCAGACGGGATGTGTTGCATGCTCGGGATCCTCATGTGGAGAAGCTGGTTTGCGGCTTTTCACTTTGTCAATCTCCTCCTTGTACTGGCGAGAGCAAATGGGCATCGCAGGAATGATGTCCTCTTTGATGAAATTGATAATGCGCTTTCGGACCTCGGTTGACGGCACGGCATATGGCCGAGCCTAGAGGGGCAGTCGTGGTCTAATGCTTGAGCTTCCAGAAGCCCGGGGAGTGCAAATACTACAGTAGAGTTTGGTGGCCTCAATTTCCTTCATGATGGCTCATGATCGAGTTGCCTTGCAAATCCACCTCCGATGGAGCTGCCATGGAATATCTGTTTTGTATGCTACCCAGAGGACCCTAAAACTGCTACATGTTGGAGGTCCAAAACCCTGGTTGTGAGGGTCAAAACCCTAGCTATGAGGGTCCAATGAACCTTTGCGTAATATATATATATAAACTATATTACATGCCAGTAACAAGGGTCCAAACCTCACTCCAACCCGTTAAACCCAATATTGTCTGGAGGCCCCCCCCCTCACCGTGCTTTATCATCGCTTCATACTCCCGTACTGCATCGTCGTTCAGACCGGTGATGCACGGGTTTTAAGGCACTTCATGAAGTTTGCGCCAGGAGTTTGCATTAGGTGGCTTCGTGTGAATACGTTGAAAAGACCTACCGCATGGGCATGGGCTATCATCTTTTTCAGCTGGCCGGGGCATGCGGCATGGGCAAGGCAGTTTTGGGGGGCGTCACGAGTTGTAAAATAGTAGACATGCCAACAAGTGATAAAGGCTTTGTTTTGACGTCTTACATAGCTGTGTGTATGCGGCTGTGGATGTGAGTTCCAATGCAGGTACACTCTCATTGATTGGATTGGCCTCCAAGGTTGCCCTGTTGGCCAGCTACTCCAAGAGCAATTGGCCAACATGGTTGAAATTGAATATCGTAAGTTTGTATAATAAAAAATATTTTGTATTTGGAGGTTGATCTAAATTCATTCTTACGAAAACACCATTCTTTGCGAACAAACCTTTACTTTTCCAGATCTTCCGCAAACTCTATGTTTAACTTTTGCAGGGGGTATACAGTATCTCAGAAGTCTTCTGTTTGTATACAGTAATTATACTCTAAAAAGATACAACATATTTTAATATTTGCAGTTCTTTCGGGAAGAAATACTTTTGCGAACTCGAACGAAAAACCCTTCACGAACAACAGGAAGGCTCTCAATGCACCTAGGCCCTACGTCGACCTTTTGATCTAATCTACCATATTATACTCTCAACTACGCAAGGATACGGAAAAAAAAGGCTCTCGGTCAGTTCACGCGAGCCGAGCTCAGCTTCAGACTTCAAAAAAGTTCTCACTGAGCCGATCCTTGAAGGGCTCCAATTCGGCGGGAATCCGTTCAGGATCCAAAATGTATCCAGCCGACTCACCGGCCTCCACCATGGCTGCAACCAAACGCGCCCGCCAAGGATGCCGCGGAATCCGGGCGCCGGATTCCGAAGGGACTGGAGTTTCAGATAGGATGTCATGCACATGGTGACCATCATCCGGTCTTGTCACTGCTGTTGTCATGAAAAACTTGATGAACTTCATGATTCACTTCATGCCCTGGAGCAAGCCTCAGTGAATCCATTGTGCTTTCGACCGGAAAGCCAACCGACACCACGGTGACCACCGAAGCTCCGCTCCGCTCCGAGTGGCTCGTCGGCCGCGACCGCTTCGGCGGCCGCTTCGTCTGCGGTGGCCTGTTTCAGGAGCGGCTGAAGCGAAGAATCGGACGAATCACTTGGAGCCATGCAGCGGACGAAAAGAACCTCTCTAAACAAGATCTTAGTGGTAGCCAACGTCCACTTCTGACATGAACTGACTTTTGCCAAACAAACTAAAGGATTCAAGTTAAAACATCTTAAAAAATACAAAAGGAGTTTGCCAATCCGTAATTTTGCCAATCTCTATAAAGAGATTGGAAAGCCCGACGTCCACTCAGATGCGACTTTTGCCTCGAGCACAAGCAAAGCTAACAGTGTTCGGCGCTCCCTTATGTGATGTTCGGTCTGGCGGCGGTCCTAAAATATGATAGATAACGACGGAATTCATCACCAAGAACCCCTTCAAAAAGCAGATCAAAACCGCATTGAAAATCGTTTCTAAGACCGCTTTGAAGTGGGGTCTTCCTTCTTGGTCCTTTCTTTGGACCAACCACCTCGAACCGACCATGCATGCCTGGGCCAGCTCCAGCTGGGCCTCGCGAGCTATGCTGTGACTTTCCAAGAGCAAGTCTGTGGGTTTGATTGTTAAGAATACTGCATAAGAATACAGGAGCAAAGGGCATCGCTACGAACGGAGCAAGAAGCTACGTTCGGGGCTCCTGGGGGCTCCTGGACGCTACTAGGAGCAAAGGAGTCCATGTGGGTCCATGATTGTTTTTCTTAATCTTCAGAACTCCGTGCCTTCGTGAGGACTTCATGGACACAGACTGTGTCCATCCAACCAAGAGCAAGAAACACCCAATTCAGTGAGTGGACATGTCGCAAAGCGTGGGACATCTCTCGGAAAAACCCGTTCGGTCAGGTCGGACTGGTCTGGTCCGGCTGGTCCACCTTTGAAAAAGGGGTCCAAAGCCGGATCGTCCCCATTTCCCATCCCAACCAAAAACCCGGTCAGACCGGGCATTGACTTCATACTGAACATCTCCCGTCCGTGAATTGTCCTGTCCGGTGAGGATCCCAACGAAGCTGCATGGGACACGACGACGAGTCCAGCATGGGAGGTCACCGTGTTCACCGTGGCAAACCGAGACCAACGAGTCGCTGCGGTCAACGAAGCCGCCGAGGAAAGCGCTTCGGACGAAGCAGCGTGGCCAGGCCATGACGATGTTGAAAGGTTTGACCACTGGTGAGTGGAAAGGAATGACGAAAGCAACATAAAGCCTTTCAGAAAGCCTTTCATGTTGAGGACTGAACACCTTGGCCAGACTGGACACCTTGGCCTGAAGGCTGAAACATGCTGAAACCGCTGGATGCTGGGTCTCCTCCCCCCGCCTGATGTCGCAAGCTCATCGCGAGCCCGTGCCGGTCTGGTCTCATCTCCTCCGGTTTCTGGGGTCCAAAAGGGCGAGTGTCTCGTGGTCTCCAAAGGATCCAAACGACGATCACTTACCTAGCACTTCCTGTCCGGGGGCAATGGAGACCTGTAAGTGGGGCAGGGTCGACTATTGGACACCCAGACAGGATGATCCTGGTAGGAGGGATTCTGTTGTACTTGTTCTTACCCTGGGAGTCAAAGACTATAAAAAGAATGGTCTTTAGGTGACCTGAAAAGGAAGTTCTTTTACTTCAGAACTTCAGTCGGTCAAATATAGTCGAACTGGACTTCGAAATGGTCTTATAAATACTTAATCTATCTTCTTCTGACTTGATAAGATGGATGTTGGGGTCGCGGTCCATTCACCTCCATCACCCAACGACGACTTGGCCCATGCCCCAATTGCACCGGTGGCTTGGATCTTCCAATGCACCAGATCATGACCCCATTCTTGTTAGGGTAATCATTGGAAGATCCTAACATGATCGTTTCAATCTTCATTGCAGGCTGCCCCCAAACTAGGTGGGGTGTTGCACAGTGCGGGAGTTTGTCCATCAAAAGTGCCTGAGCTGATATACTTCGTATCCCATCTCATGATTGAATTGCTGGTGGGGTCTTGTGAAACAAATTCACATACCTAATCCAGCACTTTCACTTCACATGCCTGTGACAACACCAACCTGCTGGAAAACAAGAATTTCGCAATCTCATCCTGCACATCTGCATCTGCGCCAATCTCTTGGGATAGGAGGCTTGAAGCCTGCCGACTGCAAAACAGTACTCAAATAGCAAAGGCTTCAAAAGAATTCAACCATCTTCAACACATCGTTGTCATCATTCGTTTCATGTCACGTCACGTCATGTCATTCGTTCAAATCCAGTCGCCTATCCTCCGTTCCACGCCACACATCCCCTCAGCCTGGGATCCCCGGAGGGAGCTCGCTGTCCCCAGGGCGAAGTCCGCCTCGGCAGGAAGGACCGGTGGGAAGGACCGGTGCGGAAGAAACGTTCGTTTCGTGTCCCTTTTGGTTCGTAGATTAGGGAATGAGACAGGTAAGATCCATCTCTTTTTGATTCTTGATCTGCTTTTTGGAGCATGCAACATCATGCAACTGAGTTAGCCTGGTCCCACTCTAAATCTATATAAGGTGTGTGGGATCAACATCCATGCCAAGTCATCATGATTCAAAACTGTTTGAGGATGATGCTTTGAAACTCTTCTGAGTGTAAACCGGCGGACTTGCTAAAGATATAGGCAGATGCACGGTTTGTTGGTGGGAAGGTCAGTGAAAAGTATGCAAAGACCTTGGGATTCTCCCATTGGTTTTGTGTCAAACGAGTATGAACCTTGTGACCGTCAATTATGGTAACAACCCACGAGTTGTGACGGTCCTGTCTTTGAACCCAGAAGCCGAAAGCCGGTCCCACCCGGTTCGGACACCGGCATGCCTTGGCGTTCAGAAGGCCGAACTGAGCCTCACCGGTCACCGCTTTGGGCTGGAGTAAGTGCTTGAAAAAAAGCTTCCTGCTTTCAAAATCGATGCTTCGTCCTGTCTCTTTGAAAAGCCACACAGCACAGACGTCCACCTACAAGCATCGAACACCCGCCCGTGTCCACGCCTGATCCAAAGCCGCTGACGGCAAGGACTCGGGAAGGAGGTTTGGTGAGAGCCATGCGGAGCTTTTGGCCTGCACCACCTGCACGACGCGGCGTGTTCGATGCATCAAACACTCAGTATGTATCAGTATTTGTAGAGTATAATCCAGGTGACATTATGACTTGAGCAGGCTAAACTTGAAGTATATTTAAACAAATAATATAGATGTGTCCCTTTAAAAAAACATGACCCTCTTTTGACTAGGAAAAAACATGAAAAAATGCATAGAAAAGTGGATTATCAAGTTGGCTGTTGCAGCAACTGCACGGCATGGAAAAGGAGGAATCTTGCTGTTGAGCAGGTTCACCTGTTAATCCAAGCATGAATAGTCTGAATAGTCAACTCGGTTTCCTTTTCACCAGTTCTTGGAGAGCTTTGCGGATTCCAGTACGGAATCTCGTTGCAGTTTGTGATGGCTCAGGTTGTGCGTCCATGATGGTTCAGGTGGTCATGGCCAGTCAGGACTGGCCAAAAAGTGGTGAGAGGTCAACGATCTCGGAATAGAATGTCTAAAGGTGGTCAAGGCCACAGAGTCAGCCAACACAGTTCCTCAAGCAGCAGTTGATATACAAGAAACACTTCGCTGATCGATGCAGTCCAAGATGATGCTGAAATTGGGGTAGGTACACCGATGAGATCTGATAGGACTCAGGCTGCAGCCGGCAAAAGAATGTAGCTGACCAGGCAAGGCCAAAGGAACCTGGCGTTGGTTTTCGGAAACTCCTCACCTGTTTGCACCAATCTCTGGGTTCACCCTATCAAAAGGTCCTCCTCAGCGACCACTCCCCCCCCACAACCCCTTAACTCACTTCGTTCGCCCTGAAAGCTCAAGCCTAGCCTATCGGCTGCCTTTCGTAATATCTATATATATATAATTGAATCCAGCCACCAGAATTCAGAAATGGCCGTATTCCACCAAAATTACCCTATCAATTCCCATAACTTCTTCACTCTTCTTCATGGCAAGCACCCAGGCTTGCACTGTCCGCCTTTTGTAGCCTTTCGCGCGCATGGCATCGCTCCTGCACCTGGGGAAAGCACGGAAAGCGACCTCTCCCGCAGCACACGATTCGCGAGCCAGAACGATTCGTTGAAGAAGCAGCAAGAGTGAGCAATTGTAAGTTATAATGTATATTAAAGTACTGGTTTGAGTTCTTTCTGAGGACGTACAACCTGAAGCCACGGCAGTTCGATCCATTCGATCCACTCCGAATCATCATGGAAAGAAGAGAGAAGATGGCCATGGCCCCGGTGGATGACCATGTTCAATCCGAAGACCAAACAGGTGGCTTTCACTCCAGAGAGCCGAAGGATTCTTAGGGCACTTCCGTTATTGATTGTGATTCCAAGGGAATTTCGCCCTTTTTGCTTCGGTGCCCCCACAACTCCTGGACATCACTCGACCGTCCAAGCCACATTCAGCTCATCGAACGCCGGGCCGGATGGGTTGCTGCGAGTTCGCAGTTGAGATGGTCCTGTCACGTCCTGTCTCACCTTACATAGATGTGTTAAAAGTTAAAATGATTTGCTGGGATGCTGAGCTAAGACGCTCATGGCACTACTCTTTTGCACTTTCTATCGCATGGACATACAGCGTGGGAGTTCGCTAAGCGGAGGTTTGCTGGCGGCCCAAATGTCATCGGCACCCCAAAGGATCCAAGAGCGTGTTTGACAGGTGTGACCGGAAAGTATGAAGCGATCCATGGCACCACGAGGCTATTCCTCGTGCCCTTCGATTCGTAGATTCACGATCGCAGTAGATGTGTGATCGCCGGAGCAATCTCCCAGTGTCCGATTGGGGCAGTCAGAATCAGTGCTGCGAAAAACCGAAAAACATTCAGATCGCAGGAACTCGTGCTTTTGGCGCTCAAACCACACGTTGTCTCTTTGTCTCTTAACGCGCTCAACCCACTGGAAGCGAAACCAAAGGCCTGGCAGCCGGGCAAGGCGTGAAGATTGCGGCGGAAACATGTCCGGAACAGTCAGGGTGGTTGGATAAGTCGGGGCGGCGACGAAGTCCTGGTCACATGCTAGTCAAGAAAGTATTTCGAGGCTTGGATGCACCTTGCACCTGGAAGGGAAAGATTAACTTGTTTGATATCATGGGAAGTAGCGGTTGCAAGAAACATATTTAATTCCAAATGAGACCAGTACTTAGCAGCTAGTGCCCGCTTTTCTCTGCAACATCAGCCTGTGCAATGTAAAGTCTTTTGTCAGCCGCTGGCTCACTGGCCCTGCTGGCAAGCCTTCAGCGCATCCATGAATGACTGGCATGAGGAAGCATCGCTGGAAGACTTCATGCATTGGGTCAGCTGGTCTTGCTGAAATTGGCAAGCAGGCTGGCTCGAAGCAGCAGGGGCTGGAGCACCCTCATGGCGGTGAACAACCTCAGTCTGGCGCGGGCCCATGACAGCATCCACAGCGCGATTGGCAACCGCCATACCGGTTCCGGTAGCCACGCCGGACATCATAGAACCCATCAGCCCAGAGAACATACCACCGGAAGAAGGAGCAACTGCCGGCGGTGCTGCGGCTGGTGCTGCAGCTGGTGGAGGAGCTTGTTGGGCTGGAGCTGCAGCCGGAGCTGGTGCTGCTCTGCCATGTGATGGCGCTGGGGCGGCACGCTGAGGTGCGCTGCTTGAAGTTCGGCTGCTCTGACGGGGCATTGGCAGAATGACCTCTTTGCAGCTACAATGAATGGTTGACTCTCTTGAGCCGACAAAATCTAGCAGAAGAACAGCTACATAAGCTTTATACGGTTCAAATGCAACCTGAATTTCACCTGACATGTGGATGCCCAAAAACACACAGATGAAACTCATCCTAGCAACTGCGGTCTCAGTTTCAAGGTGTGCGGAAATCGAAAAGTAACTTCAAATTCAATTTACAGTAAAAAGTTACCAGCAGTTCTGCACAGGAAAGGTCAAAAGTAGCACAAACAATTACACGTGCATTGATGTCTTAGTCTGCCTTCCGAAGAGCGCTGCGCCAGGGGCTGGCCTCGAATTGGCTTGTGGTTGCTACGATCCAAAAACGCTTCAGCCCGTAACCAGCTCTTACAAACTGCAGGCATGCGACGCATGCGACCCTGGGAACTGATTCCTAACCACCTACATTGACAAACAGGGGCCGAGGCTGACAAAAACGAGGCTGTACGGTAGCCATCAGTAGCCCATAGGCATCGTTGCCATCATGGGCTTAAGTGGGCACCAACACACACACAATCGTTTAGTGTTTCGTAGCACCCGCGGGCATAACTTTTTCTCGAACGTGTGACGCTGAACTGAACTGCAGAACTCTTCCTCAGCAAGGAGTGGACCAGTGATTGGGGGTATCTGTAGTATGTAGTCCGTAGGTCTTTGCTTCCATAGAAAGAAAAACAAACAGGAACAAGAACGCTACGTTCGGGGCTCCTGGCATCGCTACGAACGTAGCTCCTGGCCTTGCTAGGAGCAAGAAGCAACTACAAACAGTTGTCACCGTCGTGAAGGCACCCTCCCGCACCTGAAGATGCTCGATGCACGCGTGGCTGGTCGCACCTCGCTTCTGGCTCGCGTGGAAGGCGTTCCGGCGGGGCGACCGACGAAACCATGTTCATCCAGAAAGGGGATCTCATCCTCTCTCATGGTCAGCTCCTTTTGTCTGCATCATGTGGAGCCCAGCCAGAAAATTCCAGTTCAAGGTGCTGCTCCTTGCAGAAGACAAGTCATCCCTTGTCACTGACATTCACAGAGTTCAGTTGCCAGTAAATGATGTTGCACAGATTTCTCTGCAAAGATCCTCCACCTCAAGCTGATGTGGGCTGGAAAACGCGGTCTCCAGACCAGCAAAGGCACTTTGGCTGTGGCTGATTCGTTCATGACAGCTCTACACTGTCCTTCACCTCCACGTGGAATGTGTGGAATTGAGCGCCGCAACACAGAGGTCTAGACTGGATAGGTTTATATAGTTGCGGTTAAACATTATGGAGAGTTGGTGTGCTTCATTTCAACCAACATTCTATACTTGCTCTTTTTAAGGTGAATCAGCTTGCTTCCTATAGCTTGAATCAATCCTCCGCCTCGACATGTCGTTCAGCTCCATCGTCTGCCCTACGAACGGGCCGTGTTCAACGGTGGCCCTGTTCAACCCCAAAGGCACACGAAAACATGGTGTTTCGGCTTTATATAGACAAGAGCTGGAACTGAGGTCCGCGAAAGGCTGCCGCTTCTAAACTCACTGCTGAGATGGAGGTTATCTTGGAGATGGAGTGGATATCAGTGGATATATGGATTAATCATGGATATGGATATCAATGGATACCATGGATATATGATATTAATATGGATTCAATTGGATTCATATATATATATATGCTTTATACATATATATATATGGATATGATATATCAGTGGATCATGGATTCATATGGGCCCCTGCCTTTTAGACGGTCTCAGTGATCAGACCCTGCCCAATGGTCTTGCCACCCTGGCGAAGGGTGAACATGCAGGATTCGTCCAGGAGCTTGGCCCGCGCCATGAGACCCAAGCCTATCTAAGCCTACTGAGTGGGCTCTTTCGTTAATTTGTGCAACATGCAAGATGTTGTCACTTCAGACTTGATGTTTCTCTATTCGGCACTGCGGACCCTGTGAGCCTCACGCATGGCGAAGCGCATGCCCTTCTCAATGGGCGTCGATGCGATCAGCTCGCATTCGCAGGTCACATCGTCACCTGGCATGGCCATGGCCACCTCGTTGCCATCAGAGCTGGTCATGGCTTCAATCTTGCCGGTCACATCGCAGGTACGGAAGTAGAAGACGGGCATGTATCCTGGCATCACAGGGTTGTTGCGGCCACCCTCATCCTTCTTCGCAAAGTAGATGTTGGCCTTGAACTTGGTGTGAGTCTTGGTGGCACCTGGGGCGCAAATGACCTGGCCTCGGAAGACTGCATCCTTCTCAATACCACGGCACAGCACACCGACGGTGTAGCCAGCCGGGCCCTCAGGCAGGTCGGTGTTGAACATTCGAATGCCTGTGATCACGGACTTCTGAGGCTTCTTGCCGCGGCCCAAAATCTCCACCTCATCGCCCTTCTTCACGATACCCTGCTCAACTCGGCCAGTGCACACAGTTCCTCGACCAGAGATGGAGAACACATCCTCCACGGCCAAGAGGAAGGGCTTGTCAGTGTCACGCTCTGGCGTTGGGATGTAGTCATCCACAGTCTCCATCAGCTCCAAGATCTTGTCCACCCACTTGTCATCACCTGCAGTACGAGACAGGACCAAGTATTTCAGCAGCACTGAAATACATTACATGGCATGCACAGGAAGGAATGCTTAGATTTCTGCAGAGTGCCTTTCTTGGTTCCGGGGTTGCTCTTCATGGCTTCCAGCGCCTGCAAAGCAGATCCTGCACACAATGAAACAATCCCTGAACAGTTCCGGAAAGCAAGACATCTCGTCTTCCAGACATCGGTCATCTTGTCTCAGTCCTTGAACGAATGGCGTGTCATCGCCAGGGAATCCATACTGGCTCAACCTCAGGTACTCGATTCGCTCCATAGCCCTCTGCTTGGGCATCAAGCAATCGATGGTGCTGAGGAAAAACGTATCCGTTTGTCTTTAATAATTATTGATACAATATATTTGTCTTTGGGGTGCTGAGAAACGAAATACATTGGTGTCATCCCCTAAGCATCCCGGAAGGCCACAAGGCCCAATTTGATCCAATTTGTGGTTTCAGGTTGTGGTGTCACACATTCTGCATGAGTTGTCCTCCAAAAAAGATGCCGTTACATGCCGTTACCTCCTGCCTTTTGCCGAAGTGTCCGGTTGTCTCGATGAAACAGCAAAACCATGCAACATATATAAAGTATTACAAACCTAGAGAATTATAGAATCGCAATGATATTGGCATTCTCCTCTATTCTTCCATGGAGAGGGTGGCTGACTCAACACTAACTGCTGGGATCCAAAGCAAACCCTTTTGCTGATCCGTCCGTTCTCGGTCCGTCGGAACTTCACGGCATCGACCGACCCTGAACCGGCAGAGAGCGAGCGAGCGAGCTCACCTCCCTACGCCCCACTCGTGTTGAAGCGAAAGAACCGTTCCCTGGACGAGGCGAGCTCCGGCTTTTTCACCCAAGGAAAGTGCGCGGCTATTAAATACCCTCCACAGTCCCAAACACCTCCAGAAACCCCCAGAAGTGCTTCTGTCCCGGATCCTCCTTTTCTCAGCTAGTCTAAGATCCCGAACATTTCGCGGGTCTCGAGCTCCACCAGCTCAAGCAGCTCCTCATCGTCCATCATGTCCACCTGGCCGACGAGGCCCCGCGCGCGTTCCGCCACTTGATCAGCGCAACGTGGGCTGGATCATGAAAGGCAGGGAGAGAGGCAGAGAGACGAACAGTTGACAGTGTCGACAGCTTCGGTCGTGACATCACCATGGCATCTCATTAAAGCATACTAAAGCCACTTCTCAAAGCCACATCACTCCTGCACCCAGGTCAAACCTCAACTCTGAACTAACTGGCCTTGTTCATGAAGCAAACCAGCTTGGGCACACCCACCTGCATGATATTCTTGCATTGAGACAGTGAGCCACAAAGTATGATTGTGGGTCGGCCATGGGCGGCCCTATCATCGTGGTTCAGCGCAAATAGTATTCACAGGCTGATGCCTCTTGGCTTTCGAGTTTTTGTACATTAGAAGATGCATTTGATGCCTACAAGTACTTATGGCGCAATGGATCACTGCTCAAGTGTGGGACAACCTCACTTCTTCTTTTGCTTCAATCTTTCCTACGACACTAATGATGTCAGCGACCCATGTCTCCTTCATGCCTTTCAGGCTATGCATATACTTTATCTGTACAGTACATCCACATTTGTTTGTTTCATCAACTTGCTCATCGTACAGCGCCTGCTTCGAGAGGAGAATGTGCTCACGGGTCTGCGCCATCGGTCCATCGGGGGAACTAATCACGAGAATGCCTCCATCCATCTGGCATGCTCCTCCGTCCGTGCGCACCACTGTGCGTACCATTAAGCCTTGATTGGTGCATGATGTGGTTCCACCAAGTCTGAACAGCACACCGAGTCTGCCAGAAACATGTCCGGAAAAAAGAACGGAATTCGAGTCTCCTGTGATCATGTTCTTGACGTAGTCCGCGTGTCCAGGGCAGTCCACATGGCAGTAGTGCCTCCCAACTCGTCTGCGAGACACTCGCCAACGACTAAGTCGCTTCAACGACCCAAAGAGTGACCCACCCCGAAGGCCCCAACCACAAAATACCACTAAAGATCTAAAAGACAGAAAACTAATGCGAAAGAAGGCCAGAACAATCCCATCTCACAGAGACATCCTTGGACCTCGGCCCAGAGCATGTTCGCGTGTCCCGTCCACATGGACTTTGTAGACATCGACTTTGTTTTTTGGGAGTCGACCGTCCCAGGAAATTCCATCCAATTCCAAACTCCATCCACTTCCTAGAGTCACCCTCATCAAGGCTCAAGGCTTCTTACGGCTTCTTTTACGCACATCACCCAGCAGCACATCACCCAGGCCATTCCTATGCATCGGAGACATACCCAATGACAGACCTATACATTCACATATATATATATATACAATTAAAGTATACAGTAATTAGTTGCAGTAACTAACCTCGCCTGTTCTCCGTCTCGTACTCAATGTGGGAGGCGTTGATGGTGATACCACGCGACCGCTCCTCTGGGGCGTTGTCAATCTCCTGCAGTGAACTGCACGACACCGGAACCCGGCGAGGTGAACCTCCGACCACGTGACCTGCAACGAATCGGTGACCTCGTACTATGCCCGCATCGAGCACCCCGCTTTTTCTTTTCGCCATGCAGCGCAGCGCAGCATGCGGCTCAGGAGCGACCGCTGGTTCTTTGTAGCATTGTAGTTGCAATCTCACTTAGTACTTGACACTCCGTTCGCACGCGCCATGCAACAGAGACTTGCGTCGGGGGCCTCATAAGACTTCTGCTTGGTGTCGCCAGAGGTGCTAAACCTGGATGGTGGAACAGTCGGGGGGCACCCAATGGGTGCAGTGGGATACGGAGACCTCTCTGTCTCTGACCCAATGGATTGACACGTCTATGGTCATCTATGTTCTCTATGTTCTTCCCAGGACTCACTCACCAGGGTCTGTGCACGTGCTGCAGTGTCGCCCGGGCGGCCGGACTGGCCGCAGACCAAAGAGATGGCAGCAGACAGAGTGGTCTTGCCGTGGTCGACGTGGCCAATGGTGCCGATGTTCACGTGAGGCTGCGAGGCTGAGGCAGAATTTCTCAGCTGCTGAGAACAGCGACTCGTGAATTTCTAGATTCTATAGACGTTTTCTAATATACATTAATGATCCTGTAATGGTCTGTCAACGCGGCTTCATTGAAGCTCGAAGTGACAAAGAACCGTCCAAAACCGATTCATTGATGACCACGGTGGCCTTGGATTCGGCATGGCAAACCACTGCAGAAGCTTTGGTCTGGCCCACCTCAGCCCAGTGACAGCTCTAAAAGCTCCGTGTTCCGTGGCGCTTCCGCGCGCGGATGGCACCCGATGGGGAGCCCGGCTTTTCGGCCAGCTCTGCTCAATCCAGCCTTCAGTCGACGCGCGGAGGATTCGTGGCACGTGTCGTTGCTCAAACGAATCCATCCCAAAACCGGTGCAACGCCGGTCTCTTCGACCCTCCGAGGAGCGTCTCCGCGCAGCGGTGCGCCGCGGGTCCAAGCTCCGCACGCCCAGTGCCGCGGCACCCATGACCAGTGCCTCAGGAGTTCCAGCGGAGGTCGTGCGAATCGGACCAAGATGGGTCTGGGATTCGCCCATATGTGTCCCCCCTCGAGTGACCGGGAAAGAACGTCAAGATGTGAGTGCCTCATGGGCCTAATGGGCCCAATGCGCATCCCCGAAATTGTGAGAGGGGATCCACATCGCCCACGTGTCCGAAGCTTGAGGAAGCTGCAAGTGGCATGGCTTGGCTGACACCTGCACCAGAAGGTTGCGCCTGGCCAGAAAGCACTCCACATGGCCAAATTGGCAAAGCAGGCAAAACTGCTCAAAGCCAACTCCATGGTTTTCTGAGCAGGAATAGGTTTCTGCATTCCAACAACGGTCTTGCCCAGCCAGCTCTGGCTAGCTTGGGTAGGCCCATTGCCACAAACAATGTTTGATGGTTAGCTTGTTCGTGGTTTCAGCTTGTCAGAAACGTTATATAGTTTGTGAGATCAATCATCTCCCAGCAAAAGTTCAACATAAAAATGTTTGAAACCACCACCCAGTTTAGCCTCTGGGCCTGACTCTCGCAACGGCTAATTGCTGGATATTGCTGGAACAAACCCAATAAAAAGGTGTTTTCCTTTAAAAAAACTGTCCTGCCAACTTCTGAGGCTTCAGCTTTGCCACGAGCAGATCGCACGTCCTCCATTTTCGAACGGTGCGAGGTGTCATCCGTTGCAAGCTGGTGGGACATGAGCAGGGACTCATGGTGAGACTGGACGGCCTCTCTCAATCCTCACAGAACGGCTAACAATCCACATTCAAAACGGTGGTCGTACTGCTGTTCTCTTGTTGCGGTGGCGTGTTGGTCGGCTGTTCAAGCCGTGGCCTTCAGTTGCTCGGGTCTGCCAACTTGCAACGTCACAAAGCTCGTGGATGCCAAAGCCTCGCAGGAGTCGCAGGAGGGTCCTATAGGGCCATAGGGGTCCCTCCACATGGGAAGGCCAGTTCCCACGCCGGCCCACTGGCTCTGTTCGTTTGGAAACGACACAATCGATCCCAAACGTGGAGTCGACTGTTTAGGACCACCTTGCAAAACAGACCCTGTTAGGGATCGATTTCGGAACCTTGTGCAGGGAACGGTTCTTTGCCGGGGGACTCGTGGGAAGGTCTGACCGGTGTCTGGTGTCTGCATGTTACATGCCCTCGTTGCTGACTCTGTTGCTGACTCTGTCAACTTTGCTGGCTGTTGAATGTCCTTCCTCGGCCTTGGGCCTTGCTTGCTAGAGTCCATTTCCGTACACCGCACGTCCGACTCAACTTGTCAACATGCTTTCTCCAAGCTGTGCTTGCGCTGCCCAAAGGAATTCATGGCCCCACCTATATTAGCTAGTGGCAGAATTACCAACAAAATAGACACCTGCGCCCGAAAGGAGCCTGGGTCCTCCACAAAACCATGCAAACCCACCACCGTCGATCTGGTAGCTCTGACGCACTGGTCCCAGCCGAGAAACAATGGCCA